TTGATATCAAAAGTGTGACTAGATCTGTTTAACAGAGATGTATTGTTTGTACGCCTTGTATATTTTTAAAAGTTAAAAGCATAACTCTGTAAATGTATGTTTTACTGCGAATGCCTATGTTGCTCTATGTTATCATCATATGTATACTTCTTCTGCCTCCTCATTTATTTGACATGTGTAATTACATATTATTATTCGCTTATTTGGGTGATCCCCTCCAGTGGTTGAGTAGAGTAGCTGTCAGCTAGACTACGCCACTGGTATTATATATTTTTTTATTATACTGAATTTTCTTCTTCGATAATAAAAGACGGTTTATTGTTATTAATATTATTATTATTATTATTATAAACACAGCGAATGAGCTTCACATCCAGTCAACAATTTCAGCAACCAATACCTATGAAATGTGAAAACAAAATATTGTCAAGTACGAGATGGCAGCTTGTCCTTGAAACATCATTAGCTTACTGAATATTGAGAAATTACATATAATTCAGCCAAAATTTAAAGAAATGTTTTGATTTTTGACTAAATTCATGTCTTAATTACGATTGCTGATTTTTTATCTATGTTTATACTATTTTCTTATTTTACAGATTTAACATCACCTCCATCGTGTTTTTTTTTCCTATAATCGTCTTGTAGATAGCCATTAAATACCTACTTGATGACAGACTCTACCAAAAATTTCATAGATTTGCTCGTTTCCAAACATTTATTCATTTATTTGCCGTTCATCAGAACCATTATGGCACATTAAACTGATATTCCCACAAAACATTCAGGACTTTTGATATCCATACATCCATAAAGTTGAATATTTTTCGTTTGTTCAGGAACTGAACAAACATCCACACTGTATTTAAAGCGATTAAGGAATACCCAAATATATGTCGTCTTTTAGCTTCTACCAGCAAACCTAAACCCTGCAAAAAAACTAGAAATTTTCAATATTTTCTTTTTTCAGGAGTAACATTATTCTAGGTTGTATAATTAGACATTATTTGAATAACAGCTGATATTCCATGCTATTCAATGAACAACACGTGACTTGTGTGGTGTGTCAGCGGCCATTCTTTGAGGGTGCGACATGTTGCCAGATTGTGCATTAATATCCCGTTCACCCCCCTGGTCCCAGTGGAGTAACGCTCCGCCAACTGTGAAATATACTCTACTATGCTTTATAAGACTAGTGGTAAATTTTTCCAAAATCGTTGCACATCACTTGAAAAAATGCAAATGAAAATTGAAAATTATTTCCATGACGCCCCAAAATAGCGCGTGGGTACATCGGGTGATACATCTTGACAGTAGGGATGTTCAATACGGTCATATATCTAGAAGTATTAAAATTTTTGCTTCCCATACAGAAATACAGAAGTGCTGTTTGTTTACATTTGGTGTGGATTTCCAGATCATAAAGTGCAAAAATTGTTTTTGATCTAACAAAAGATGATGAACCAGTTGGAATACTTTTATATATCGTTTTTTGCAAAATAACAAAAATCGGTACATTTCTACAGGTACGTATTATGTACAACACCCTGTACGTCATATACAGACAAAACTAGATTTCCATGCATGAACAGTCATCAAAAATAGTGAAAACGTCCTACCAAATATAATAGATACAAAATCGACCTCTTAGTTGACGCATTCCCATTGGTCCCACTTGAATAACTGATCGTCTTTTCTTAAATGACAAACATTTGAAATTCTATTAAAGTTATACTAATTCTATAGGACAAGATATAATATTACATCTATAATGTACCCTTATTTATAAGGCAACCGTTTTTTCACGACTTTATTCAACATTTCAATAGAAATCAGTGATATTCAGAGAGCTTTGACACACCAAACTTCTACCAAGTGTTCCACAAATATCAGATTATTGTGTCTGGAATTTACCTTTGAAGAAACTGATAGAGGTAGACAAACTGAAGCATTCTACTACCGAGACCCCAGGTCAATGTGCATTTCAATGCGGTATACTAGATTCTGCTAAATAAGAAGCAACCACTGGTCTTTCTATTATTCTTCCTTGAACTCTATTCGAGCTGAATTTACGGAAAACACCATACGTGAAGAAGAGATTTCGTCAGTTACCACGCCCCTTGGAAAAATCTTCAATAGTGTTCGGTTATGTCTGCTTGTGACTTTTATACAACAAAGTAAATCAGGAGCTCAGAGGTAAACAGTTGTAAGTCGAAATTGACACAGTTTTGAGCTTATGTTACTATTAAAATGCACTAGCTTAGCTCTATATTATAACAAACAATCATCAGCAACATAGGTGTTTAGTCGCTATATCAATTTTGAATATCTAATATTGCACTTAAACTTTTGCTGAATTGTTTACTTCTTTTTGTTCATTACTCAAAACTTTGAGTTTTGGACTTATGTCTGTTTTACCTCTCAGCTATAGAAATGACTTACCTTATCCAGTCGACACTTGCGCAATATCAAACTGCAAATTTGCGAAACGAGGAAAATCCATAGCTGTAATCACCTGTAGTAATCTCTTTTACGTTGGGATTAAGCATTTAAGTACCTGCTAAACTACAAGTATTCCTGGAAACAAAATCTTTACACCTCTATGGCTATTAACTCCACACATGCAGGCGGAAATGCAGAATTGCCTTAATCGAATGGAACGAACAACGCAATTAAAGAAAATTAAACAGCGATTTTTTCTTCACATTTACCTTCGTTGTCGACTTTACGTGTGCCAAATAGCTGTGAAGTTGAGAATGTGCTGCTCGATTTTTCCCGCACGCCTGCACAAAAGAGCGGGAATTTGCAAGTTGAGCTAGGGACTTTTAACCTGCGTACGAAAGTAGCTCTTCGCTTAGCATCAACTGCACAAGACTGCCAGGCTCT